CTCTCTTTTTGCTTTGTAGTTGTTATTATATAAAAGTTGGCATCTCTAGTTCCCTATTTTCAGTCATTGATCTTTTGATACTTCTGTATCTAGGCTAGGAGATCTGGTGGTGCAGTGGTTAAAGTATTTGGCTACTAATTAAAAGTTGGTGATTCAAACCCACCAGTCACTCCGTGGGAGAAAGATGAGGCTGTCTGCTTCCATGAAGATTTACAGCATTGGAACTCAGTCCTACTCTGTCCCATAGGGTCACTGTGAGTCACAGTGAACTTGATGGCAGCCAGTTTGGTAGATTTATTTTATTTTATGGTTTAATTTCCAGGTGATGTTGTCATATGTCTTAATCTCAGGTTGTAGTCTGCCATTGTTGGTTCTCTGGAGGACTCTCTTTAACATTTCTTGTAATGTTGGTCTGGTTTTCATAAATTCCCTTAATTTTTGTTTATCTGGAAATGTCCAAATTCACTATATATTTGAAGGACAGTTTTGCTGGATATATAATTCTTGGTTGACAGTTTTTTTTTCTTTCAGGGTTTTATATATATTATCTCATTGGCTTTTTGCCTGCATAGTTTCTGCTAAGAAATCAGAACTTAGTCTAATTGGTTCTCCTTTGTAGGTGGCTTTTTGTTTTTCCTGAGCTGCTTTCAGGATTCTTTCTTAATTTTCTTTGTTTGGAAAATTTGATACATTTATGCCTTGGTGGTTTTCTTTTGAGATCTGTCTTGTTTGGGGTTCATTAGTCTACTTGAATGTATATCTTCTTCTATTTTATGATAATAGGGAACTTTACATCCAACAAATCTTTGACAATTTTCGCAGGCTTTTTGTTTCATTTTGTTTTGGGTCTCTTTCTGTTCTGGAATTCTGATCACATATAAGTTATTCCTCTTAATAGTGCCTCATGTAATTATTAGGCTCTCTTCTTTTTTTTTCCCCCTGATCGTTCCTGTTAGCATTAAGAGATTCATCTTCAATTTTGCAAATCTATCTTCCATTGATTCAATTCTACTCCTTTGCCCTTTCAATGAGTAATCTATTTCTGAATTTTTTGTATTAATCTTACTTATGTCTATTTACTGTTTTTATATGATTTCTAATTTTCCATTTATTTTGTCAATTTGTTTTTATATTGATTTCCTGATTTCATCTAGAATTTTGTCTGTGTTTTGCTTGAATTGGTGCTTTCTTTGTTTCCCTTGGTCTCTTTCCTAATCTACTGAAAGGACCTAGGAATAAATATTTTAAAGGCCTTATCAGATAGGACCTATAGTATTTCTTCCTCTGAAAGATTTTTAGCCCTGTATTTTGATCACTTGTTTGAACCATCCTGTTCATTTATTTTGTTTTGGTTTTTGTTTTTTGTTTGATTTGATATTGTCTTTGAGATATTGTGGCATTATTATATTAATTTGTTGATTATATGTTGATTTGCTTCACCCTAATTTTTTTTTATTTTTATTGTGATTTGAGTGAGAGTTTACAGAGAAAATTCATTCTCCATGCAGTTCATACACATTTTGTTTCATGACATTGACTGCAATCCCCACAAAGTAACAGCTCTCTTCTCTTCTCTTCTTTGTAGTTACTTCTTCCCTGTCTCCTTTCCTATGCATTCCTGCCCCCTGAGCTATCTCCCTGTGCAAATACTGCCTTTCTGTTCTCTCACAATTGATTGTTCTAGAGAGTGTATCTACCTGGTGTAAATGTTCTATACTTGTCTATTGTTTTGTTGTAATCCATGGGAGTGAGTCTGATTCCAGCCCTAAAGGTTAATTCACCCTAATTTTTGTTTTATTTCAATATACTCAGGCAACATGGGCATGCTACCCTGGTCACTAATTTGCTCACCACCTTTCTCTGGAAAATTTTGGTAGTGATTGGTAGTATGGGCACAAGTTTCTAATCACTAGTCATGTAGAGCAGCTGAGGGCAAGCTGTCATTTGTCAGTGATCCAGTGTTACTGTACAGGTGGTGGACACACAGTGGATGATATCGCAGGGGTGGTGAGTATGCTTGGGTAAGGTTATTGGCTCCTGAGTGGGAAAAAGAAAGGAATGGGAGGGAAAAATGAAGATAAACAGGAAAAAAAGGGTGGGAAGAGCTAAGAAGAAAGAGAAAAATGAAAGATAGGAAAGAAAAAGCAAAAATAAAAACAAAAGCAGCATGGGTACTGATGTAAGTGCTAGCCACCAAACACAGCTGCAGCAAGAATGTGGGTACACACACTGCTGACAGTAGAGCACTGCTGACCATGGAGGTGGGTGGATCATGGAGGAGGGGAAAAAAGAAAAGAACAAGAATTAAGCCATGGGTAGTGGGGAAGAGGGAAGAACCATGAAGAAGGAAAAAAGGAAAAAAAAAAAAAAAAAAGACTCAGTACCGGCTCAAGCAGTAGCCAGCAAACACAGCTACAGTGTCACTGTGGCACTACTCTGAGAGAGTGTGCAACATCGGCTGTGGAGGGGGAAGGATGTGCTGCTCACGCCACAAGATAAAAAAATGGGGAGGGGGGAGTAGGGGGAGAGGAAGAAGAAAAAAAGCAAAATATAAGGAAGGGAAGAGGTAAGAACTGCAAAGAAAGGAAAAAAAGAAAAACAGCACAGTACTGTCACAAGTGCTAGCCTATAAACACAGCTGCAGTGGAAACATGCTGCTTCCTCCATGAGAGAAAGCACCACTAACTCTAGAGGGGCAGAGGCGAGCACTGCTAGCCCACAGAAGCAGCAAGGGGGGGGGCAGTGCACATGCAATGCAGGATCAAAAAAATAAAAGCGGGGTGGGGGTGGAGGAGGAAGAAAAAAAAGAAAAAGAAAACAAGCTAGAAGAGAGGAAAGGAAAAAAAGGGAAAGGGAGGGGGAGAAAAAGCAACACAGTACAGGTACAAGCACTAGCAGCCAAGAATGACTGCAATGGCAACATGGCACTCACTCTGTGGGACCACACCCCACCAATCATGGTGGTGTGGGGGCAGGTACTGCTGATCAAGGAGGTGATGGGGCTAGAATGGAATCAAAAAATGGGGGAAAGAGGAAGAAATAAAGGGAATTAAGAAGGTAGGAAAATGGACTAATAATAAGCACAGCACTGGCAGTGGGGGTGTTTTGATCAACTGCTGAGGACAGGGGGATTGAAGGGATGTCATGGTTCTGGTCACCAGGAGGTTATGCAGGATAGGAGGAGATCACACCTGTCTGGTCATCGTTCACTGATGTGGATGCTGGTGCAGTCCTGGGCAAGCAGAGCTGATTATCTGATTCCTGCCTCATTCAGAACACTATTTGCAATAATGCATATTGGCTGTGCTGTGCTAAACCCATTCATAATTCACTGCTCCATATGTCTCCTTGTTTGCTGTTTTTGTTCAGTCTCTTCCTCTAATTGGTATTTGATCTACTTCTTTATCCTTTCCTTTGATGCTCTGGATCCCAGGATTGTCATCGTGTCTGTTTCATCTGGTTTCTCAAGTCTTTGTTGTAGAGAGTTTGGATATTATAGCTGCCTAATCTGCCATCCTGGCCTTTCTCTGCAGTGCAGATTTTTAAAAGTCAAGAAAATCATTGCTATAAGGCCCAGACCAAACCCATTGCCTTTGAGTCTATTCCAACTCATAGCAACCCTATGGTACAAGATAGTTTCCAAGTCTGTAAATCTTTATGGAAGCAGACTGCCACATCTTTTTCCCAAGGAGTGGCTGGTGGGTTTGAACCACTGACCTTTTGGTTAGCAGCTAAGTACTTTAACCACTGTGCCTCCAGGGCTTTTTCAGCCTCCCATATTTTCAATAAACTGAGCAAGTATGAAAACTGAAATTAAAGTCATCAGGGCTCTACCGTGTGCTATTAGAGCTTGTGGGCACTACCTTCGAGAGATCTTAGATCCAGCTATCATTGGAAATCTCACTCAGAATCTTCTGGCAGCCCTGGCTTCCTCAGTGCCTGTACCACTTACTGGAATCTCTCCTTCAGCCCACCGTCCCCACAAGTTCTGTGTTTGTGTCTGTTGTGAGGATGGGGCTTCCACCAGGGGGTCATGCACTGACCAACACATAGCAAGTCAGAAGGCAGCTCCCCAGGCTTGCCAGACCACATACCTCTGTTTGCTTCCCAACCCACCAACACTAGTCAGTAACATCCTTCCCAAAGTCACTCTGCTGGGGTCGTCCCAGGTGGAGCACACTGAGAGCAGTCTCCTGACACATCCAAGAGCATCCTCTATGTTTACTCCCATCACTGCCTGTTTCATCATCATTCATTCCAGTGATCTTGCTGCTGGAGGGTGTTGAAATCCTGAGCTCTTGAAGGCATATTTTTTGTCAGTCTTCAGCTCCTACTCTGTTCTCCTCCCCACATTGTTGCTTCCACATGTCCCAGAAATATCTACCAGAGGAACTGTTTCTTTGATAACTGGTCTTGGCATCCACATTAAGACATTTGTTGTAACTCTCTTCCAAGGCTTAACCACTGCCTGAATGAAGTTGCCTGTGGATTTACTCCCTGTTCCTTCCTCTCCTACCCTAAATCTGTTACTTAGCCTTGGGCTGGCCCAAGCAGAGCATGTCCATGGAACCCAGCCTGATGAGCAAGGCCCTAGGCCTCTTGACTTCAGTTTCCTCCCTTTGCTCCACCTGGCCCATAATCCCTGCTGCTCCACCTCAGGGCCCGCCCAGCATTTGGTCTTTTGGACTATACTTGTCTTTTGGACCTACTAATGGGCCATAGTTGGACCTTCCACATTCCCTGAGTTCTTCCTATTCCTGACTCCTATGACTCTTTCTCCTGACCCAAACCCCCTTTCGCTGGCCACTTGGCTGAAGTCCCAGATGGGACTATGTGGATAAGACTCTAGAAGATAGACCTGGAGCTTTTTGAGGGTGGAAACCATTTCATCCTCACCTTTGTATTCTAGCATTGGGCCTGGCACATAATAGGGACATGATAGGTGTTGATGGACTTTCACTGAATTAGATTGAACTAAATATTTGAGTGGTGTCTTGCAGTGTTCTGCCAACTGTGGTAAAGGGACACAAAAACGAACTGTGACATGCACCAACTCACAAGGAAAATGTGATGCAGCCAGGAGGCCAAAAGCTGAGGAGGCATGTGAGGACTATTCAGGCTGCTACGAGTGGAAAACAGGGGACTGGTCTAAGGTAAGTAAAACATTTGCATACTTATCCCACAGTGGCTACTCTTGTTATGGGTTCCTATTCTGCAAGGTGGTTCTAGTCTAACTAGGCAAAGTCATTTTTTTCCCCTAAACTCTGTACCTGCCAGTGACCCTATATGCTTTATTTCATGATTTTCCCACCAGGCTGTTACAGTATTACACTTGTGTCTTGCTGGAAGCATTCCTCTGTTTTGTGTGCATTAGGCAGGGAACCAGATACAGACTAAAGCATGCCTGCAGGAGGTTCCTAAAACAGAGTGTTGTCTGCTGTGGGCATGGCTTCCCTAACTACCATGGGAGCTTTGGCCAAGGGAGACCAAAGGGATAAACATCACTTCCACTTTGGCCAAGGGAGACTCATTGGGCAAACATCACTTCTACCCATTAACTTCGTAGGGTCCATTAAATGCTGAGTTCAAGTGTTCACCCCACAAGGTGGAAGAAGGGAAATATAATTTCTTTTGAGAACAGCATGACTTCTGATCACAAGTCAAGATGTTTCAGACTGAAGACCAGAAGCATTCACCACAGCTATAATAATGAGACATTTCTAATTCAGAACAAATTGCTCTGAAGGGATGACAATGGATGATGGTTTTAAAGGAAAATGTTGGCTGTCCATGTTAAGAGTAGTGTTTCCTCTTACTGAAAGCACCAAAGGTGTCATCTATTGACTTCCAAGTGCCACTGGAGATCTGGAAGGAGCCCAGACTGACTCGCAAGGGCTAAATTCAGATCCTGGGTATACCCATCCCACCCCAAGGCTGCTGGATCCTCAGTCTTCTGACTGTAATGTGGAAATAAGAGCATCTCCAGAGGTGTTAAACCAACCAGTTGCCATAGAATGAACTCCAACTCATGGCAGCGCCATGTGTATCAGAGTAAAACTACTCCATATGATTTTCATAGCTGTAATCTTTTGGAAGCATCTCACCAGCTCTTTCTTCTGAGGTGTCTCAGGTAGGTTTGAACCACAAAATTTTCAGTGAGTATGTATACAAATGCTGTGAGCTACAGAGCCCAACAAGTTAGAGCTAGCACCCTGAATTCAAACTTCTAGCCTCCTATACTGAGAAAATAAATTTCTGTTTGTTAAAGCCACCACCCACTTGGGGTATTTCTGTTGTAGCAGCACTGCATAACTAAGAATTGAAACAGAAGATCAAAGAACAAGTATGAGAGATATTGGGGACAGTGGAGCCTTTCTAGGATGAGTGAAACCAGGAGGCAGCCTGCATTAACATAGTTTATTAATAATAATCAATATAAGGCTAATTTCCAAAATGCCAAGATAATTTGGCATGTTCCCACTTCACTGTTATCCTGACACCAGCTACCCATGTGGCACTTTCTCTCTCTGACCCTAACCACCCAGAGCTGGATCTCCACAAGTTAAGACACTGTCCTTCTAGCCTCTGCCAATAGGGAAAATGCCAGACTCTGCTGACTCTCACTGCCTCCAGTGGGTTCAATAATTCACCAGAATGACTTGAAGAACTCACAGAGACTACCTATACTCACAGTTACCCATGTACTATAACCAGAAAGGATACAACTGAAAAGACACATCAGACAAACTCAAGGGGGAGGTGCTGGCATGAGTCTTCTGCTGTTTCAAGGGACCTGCTACCCTTTCCCATGCATGGATGTTCTCACCAATCCAGGAAGTGCTGTATAACCTCCTTGTTGGGGGCTTTTATTGGCTCATTGATAGTCAGTGATTGGGGTTTCTTTGTTTAGTCAATGATTGATTGAATCACTGAATATACATGACTCATTCTATTATGCCCCCTCTCTTCCTGAGGTTTGCTGCCAGGTTAGGGCCCTACTCATTTGCACATGTTCAAGTGTTGCCTCAGGAGCTGTGATGGTATAGTGGTTAAGGCATTTGGCTGTTAACCAGAAGGTCTGAACCCACAAGCTGCTCCACAGAAGAAAAATGAGGTAGTCTGCTTCTGTAAATATTTATGGCCTTGGAAACCCAATGAGGGTCGCTATGACTCAGAATTGACTCAATGGCAGTGAGTTTGGTTTGGTCTAAGTGTTGCCTGGACATTTTAGAAAACACAGGTCACCTGATTGCTTGTGCATTCCAAGAACTATTTTCAGAAATCAGAGACAAAAGGCCAAATTCAGTTCTTTGTCTCACATATAGTAACCAACCAGGTGCCATAGAATCAATTCAAATTCATGGTGACCCCACATGTGTCAGTGCAGAATTGTGCTCCTAGGTTTTCCAAAGGCTGATGTTTGGGAAATAGATTTCCAGGCCTTTCTTCTGAGGCACTTCTGGGTGGACTTGACCCTCTAATCTTTCAGTTCGCAGCCAAGTGCATTAACCATTTGTACCACCCAGGGACTCTTGTGCATAAGGACAAACAAATCTTTCATTTGATATTCCTCCTGGGAGTGTGAGGCAGCCAGAGAAAGCAGGATTATCAGCCAGGGGTGATGAAGGCAGATCCACTCTTGGTGTAGAGTTCTTTGTGAAAGTGAACAGAGCCTACCACTGGGTCACTAGGTTACAGAAAAAAAAAAAAACCAGGCCCAGTCCCTGCTCAGCTGAGAGAAATGAGCTTGTTAAGGAGGAGTAGTTGTTAGCTGTTGTTGAGTCATGCTGACTCATGGCAACAAAATATTGCCTGGTCCAACATCCTCCTCATGAGGATGGACACATTCAAGTCCATCATTGTAGCTGCCAACCATCTTACCTAGGGTCTCCCACACCCTCTTTAGTCCTCTAGCTCACCAAGCATGATTTCTTCCTCCTGATTGACATGTCTAAAGCAAATGTCCTAGAGTAAAAACATACACTCTGTGAAAGTAGAATTAAGAGATTTATTGAAAAACCAGAGACAGTCTGTACTGGGTAGAAGTCCAAATTCCAAGTGAAGATGGCCACTCCACCGGACAATGAGTAAGCAAGCATTCTTACACAATTGAAGCAGGAACTAAAGTTACAAAATCATGATTGGCTAAAAGATAATCAGAAAAGTCAGAGGCAGGATATCTAAGAGTGGGGACTTAGCAGGAATAGGTGGATGACATATATGTGAGATTACATGATTGTTTAAGGGTACGTAATTGTAAGGATACATGGTCCTCAGTTTATTACAGGATGGTTACAGGACAATGGCAGGACAGGTTTTTCTGGTAACCTGCTGTTAAAATTGCTTCCTTAATCATGCCTATTCCTGGAGTTCCCTTGTAAAGATTTATTGATAATGCTGAACAGTAAGACCCTTTGGGCATAAGCTATTGTATAAAGGGCATGGGGGAGGTGATGGTGTCCTCTGACCTTCTCTAACTTCACAAGGGGAGGACGGAATCACCATCAGCAGCATCAGCCCAAGGCTGATTCTTATGAGGCAGAAGTCAGACATGCTGCCACCCTCCAGCCTTTTTACCAATTCTAATACCAACCATCTCTCCACAGCACTCTTTTACTTCTCTGCTGGGTTCAATAATTTGCTGCAACAGCCACATAGAACTCACAGACAATACTCACGATTATACAGTTTATTAAGGAAATAACAGGTTACAATTCAGGTTCAGGAACACTCAGGATACAATTCTCTGATCAGGACAACTTCTTCTCAGCCATGCCATAGGCATGCTTCTCTTTGGCCCTCAACCTCTAAAGCTCTTTTAGCTTTACTGAAGATGTCCAGAAATGAACCCCACTCCACCAGCAAGCCTCCTACCCAAAAGCACTCAGCTTTCTCACTCTGTGGGCCAGGAAAACTTCCATTCTGTCTCTTGGTTCTGTTTCTATCATCTCCCTGTCCTCTTTTCTTATTGTCTCAATTCAGGGATCTTGGGTCCAAAGGACATACTTCACTTCTGGCTTTCCTTTCTTGATGGTAGTGAGATCCCCCTTTTCTGCCTCCAGGATGGCTCATTTTAAGCCATCTCATTTTGCTGGTGAGATGGTAAAATCGACCAATACTCACATGAGGGTTCAATACACCTTATTTGCACAGCCCCACCCCCACCCCCACAAGGGCACCATGAAGCTTATTTACATTATTAGCAAGCTATCCAATCTCCTTCATAGGTCACAAGCACCTTACATTTGCATAATTCTACCCAGTCATTTGATGGGAGTCACAAAAAACATGGCTAGAAGAGCCATATTACCACAGCTATCACATCTTAGATCTGTTTGCCACAGTGGAAAGACCCTCTAGGAATAGATTGTGATATCTTCTACCTGCCAGACCTCAGAAAAAAAGAATGTCTATTTTAGGAGTTTATGCTTAGGTCAACATCAAGGTCAGAGGAACTGCTGTTAGACAAGGCAACTTTAAAATTCAACACAGATTCTAGACTCATGTCAAGACATTAAAAAGGAGTTAGGGCTCCTCTCTCAGAATAGTCTATTTAAACACAACAAATGCCTCTGATTTAAAACTCTCATACCTTTTCCCTCCTCTTGATCAAGGATTTTTGTGAAATTCTTTGATCATCTTATGTGTGATACACCTTATTTGTGCAGTCTTACCTCTTAGATGGCCATTTGCCTTACAGTAAGTTTTTTTAAGATCCCAGTCATCATTTTGAAGTTAGGCTACATCCACTGTCTTCACCATGCCTAGCTTTAGCACAACATCTTCAGTGATCCTTTTAGGAAAGGTTAATATGGAGTAGGGACACATAAGAGGAACTACTTGGATGTTATGTAATTAGTAAGCCTTTAAAGCAGGAGTCCAAGTCCATTGACTGAATAAGTGTCATTAATATACATGAGCCTCTTCACTGGAGCATGATAGTTCTCTGGATCAAAACATTAACAGTAATTTTTATTAAAAATTTAATTATTCTAATTATAATAATTAATATCATAAGTCCAATTGGAAAATTAATCCAATACCTGATACCTTTTGGCAACCAGCTGAAAAATGTCAAAGAAGGGGGGATTTAGTTGGTTGGGAATATGAAGCCATGTAGGCCTTTTGATGGATTTGTTGAATGTCCTTTTCT